CCTCATTTGGGAAGCTCAGAAACACTTAATTCTGCCTTATTATTAAGCCTCGCCGCTACAACTGTATCTCTTGCAGTAAATGCCCAGCCATCTACATTGGAGAAACAGGAAGGAGACTCGGAGACCGCTTCAGAGAACATGTTAGGGCTGTGAAGATTGAAGATTTCTCCAAGCCCATTGTTTCTCATTTCACCTCTGACAGCCATGATCACACTAATCTCTCCGTCTGTGTTCTCAAAGATGGTTTTCCTAACTCATACATCAGAAAGACTACAGAAACTAAAATTATCCTGCAGCTAGGATCACACCTTCCTCTTTCTTTCAACTACAGACTACTTTTCTTCTAAATTCTATTTATTGTAGGTTTCATTTTACACCTCTCCTCACCCATCCTGACTTCACACCTCCTGATTGGCCTCTCTTTCTGTCCCCTGCTCTCACCCCTCTCTCCCAGCTTTTGTTCTCCCACTACATTACAGTACCTTTGCTTACTGCCCCTGTCTTTCTCACACCTGAAGAAGGCTCCATGGCCGAAACGTTGTGTTTTCTTTCTTCTCTTTTCAGCATGGAATAAACCTATATTCCTTTGCAGCATACACATGCTGACGCAGCTACCCACCTGAACTACTACTTCATATAATGTTGTGCTTTTTTAAAATTATCATCTCAGATACAGCGGTTTGACTTTTAACATTGCTTTAACAATTTCTGAAAACATGCAAAGTAATTCCATTCCCATATTGAATGAAAAACATCCCTGCTCCCATATGGTCAACTTTATAAGATAAGCACATTTCCCTGAAAAGTTCAGTCATCTTTGGATGTGCACACAATTTAAAAAATTAGTTTTCATCTTTCAATCCGCATTTATTTATGGTATAAAGAATGATGATCTTGTTTTTTGTGAATTTTACTTTTTTCTTCCCATGGTTGTTCAACAGAGGAGCTGGAGTCGCCCTTGTGCAGATTCAGCCATTATACAGTATGCAACACCATAGTGAGGAGTCTGCCTCTCAGAACAGACAACCTACTAAAGTTTTCTAACCCGTTTTAAACAGTATAGCCTCTTGCAGTACAAACCGATGGGGTGGGTTTGATTCAGTTTCAGGTGGTTTTCATCCTGTTCTTTCGAGTTGATCACTTCTTTTGTTAACAACCCTGCTAGGCGCAAACCAGTGACTGCTATTTTTCACAAAATCACTTCTTGTACTGCTCTGATCTGAGGCCTTTTTGGTAATCAATATGGGCAGTACACAAATGATTAAATTATTACAAATTATCACTTATTTATCCACAACAAGGAATACACAGGGTTAAACACTAACACTATAACCTGGAATATTTGCCAAGGATTTGTCCCACTTTACCACTAACACAAAACATATTTCTACATTTTTAAACAGGAACTAAAGTAATACAGAATAGAACATGAATTTAGTCAAATGGGAAAAAAAAACAAGGAGAGAAACAATCACATTGAAACTAAAAAAAAGTTATAGGTATTATTTTTAAGAAGCACACTACAGTATAGGTGATGTTGAAAAATTCTTGAGGTGAAAGTGTCGAAATTGTAAATAAATGAAAACCATATAACCTTATGAAAGTGAAGCAGATTTGAAAGAAATCCAATAGCTGTGCTAGGGGTATGGCATCTCCAATGATATCCAATAAACATTTGTCAGTATGTCAAGCCCTAGCTTGAGCTGGCTCCTGGAGATTCTCCATTGATTATAAGCATCTGGATAATAGAACTGCTTGTTTCACACCTATTGCTGCCAATTTATAAAATATGCTGAGGAAAATACAGGATGTAAGTAAATATGTTTCAACAATAAAAAAATAATTTAACCGTTACAAAAAGACTAAAAGAAGTTTGTTGTTAATGTTGATTGAAAGAATGAAGGGAGGACTGACGGTTCCCCTAAGATCATCCAGAGAGCAAAATCTGATCTGATGAACTGCTGCTCCAGCATTGGGCATTACTGACCCTCAAAAACTATTTCATTTACACTGAGCAGTTACATCACCTACTTTTGAATAGTGCTCAGTAAACAGCAACAGGATAGTTTAATTCAGCCACCAAAGTGGAACCCAAGATTAATGTCCTCTGGGAACAGATGTTAAACCAGTAGATGTCATCTAAAAGACCTTTACAATATATGCTGATAGCAGATATGCACTTGATATTGTTCATAACTACATCGCAGGGTGGACACCTTAAGGATTCATAGCAGGCACTGATAAAGCAGTGAATTTAAATTGCACTGTTTTAAATCTTCTATTATTGTTCCTGTTCCAAAAATGACTCAATGACTACAGACCCGTCGCACTAACATCAGTGATAATGAATGCATTTGAACACTTGATTCTCAATAACCTGAAGACTGTCACTGCTACTCACCTTAATCCCCTGCAGTTTGCGTCTAGGGCTAATAGGTCAGTAGATGACGCTGTGAATATGGGCGTACACTTTGTCCTGCTACATCTGGACCTTAGAGGCGCGCTCGCTAGAATCCTGTTTGTGGATTTTAGCTCAGCATTCAACACAATCATTCCTAGCAAATTCTCAGAAATTAATGTAAACCAGTCCATTTGTAAATGGATCCTTGACTTTCTGACTAACCAGAAGCAGCACAGGCGCACCCCAAGGTCGTGTGCTCTCTCATCTACTCTATTCCTTGTACACCAATGACTGCACTTCTGACGACCCCTCAGTTAAATTTCTCAAGTTTGCATACGACACCACTCTTATAGTCCTCATCACAAATGGCAATGAGAGCCAGTACAGAAAGGAAGTGGATCACCTCACAAAGTGGTGTATCACTAACAATTTGGATCTTAACACCACAAAACTGTAGAAATGATAATTGATTTCAGAAAGCACCCCCCAGCACCTTACCCCCTGGTAATTAAGGACACTACTGTCAATGTGGTGAAATTCCTGGGCCCAATTACTGTATCTCTAACACTCTCTGCTGGGATGAAAACATATTTTCCATTATAAAGAAAGCACAGAAGTGCATGTACTTTTTGAGACAGCTTCTCGAGAAGCTTGGTATTGC